TTTCCAGGTAAAGGGAAAAGGCTCATTATCTGCCATATTGGCAGTGAGGATGGATTTGTTGTTGACGGTCTGTGGTGCTTTGAGTCTAAGAAAACTGGAGATTACCACGAGGAAATGAATGGCGAATCGTTTGAACAGTGGTTTTCAAAAATTTTACCGAACTTAGAGGAAAACGCAGTAATTGTGTTGGATAATGCGCCTTATCATTCTCGAAGAATGGAGAAGGTCCCAACAACGGCTTCAAGGAAAGTTGATGTTCAAAATTGGCTCCGCTCGAAAAATATCAACTTTGAAGAGGCAATGCTGAAAGTACAATTATTAAGAATTGTCAAGGATCACAAGGCGGAATATCAAAAATACGCCATTGATGAAATGGCAGCAAGTCAAAATAAAACTGTGCTCCGTTTACCTCCATACCATTGCGAGCTCAATCCCATTGAGCTCATATGGGCAGAGGTTAAAAATTATATAGCTAAGCACAATACAACTTTTAAATTTTGTGACCTCAAAGGACTTTTCAAAGAAGCACTAGAATTAATAACAGTGCAAAAATGGGAAAACTGTATTAAGCACGTGAAAGACAAAGTTGAAAAGAGACTGTGGGAACTGGACAATATTTTAGAGGAACAAGTCGAGCCATTCATTATTGACGTTGGTGCTTCAGGCAGTAGCGATGATGAAAGCTTATCAAGCTCATCTTTCCAATAAAAGATGTCGTTCATCAAATTCGGTAAGTTATAAGTAATTATAAAGCTACTGTATTTTTTAATTAATTATTGACATTTTTGAACCCATTTTGGCAAAACCTATTCAAGAATCTACTTTCTGACAGTGTTCAACCATGCACATTTTTTTACGTTTTGAACGTTTTAATTTGGTTACATATTTACCTGGAAATCAAAAAATATACTAATCAATATTCTAAAAGCAATTTTAAGAGATATACGATTATTTTTAATTTAGGCTAATTTAAACGCCATTTTGAGATTATATTCGACTGTATTTCACCAAACATCAGGCGGCATCCGAAGCTGGAAATCGAAGCGAAAATTTTGAAACCCTTATGTATATTTACATCATTATATATTTCTTACCCCACCCCCACATGATCCTATATCCATCACCAATCGTATACACATCGAATTGTGCTAATTTACTACAAAGTTACGCAAAGCAGCATCTACTATCTAAAATATGTACTGCGTGACTCTTAATACGTCCCTGCCGAATGTTACAGCGTTCGATGATCACGTGGTCTTGTTTATGTCCGGTCTATCTCTTATCTGAATATACTGTACATAAAATACAGAACCGATATCGGCACGGGTATCATCTATCTTGAAAAGTGAGATTGTATCGATTTTTTTTTGACATTATACTGTTTTTTGACATTATGTAGGTTTTTCTACAAGATGTTAACTTAGCACTTAGTTGTATGCGTTGCCTAAACGTCATGAGGCTTTAGTTATCAATGTTTGGCTTTGATATTATGTAAAATCTGCTACAGAAATGGCATTACTGCAGTTCTAAGCTATAAGTTGTATGTGTTGGTGATAATTCCATTGGATTCTTGTGTCAAATACACTTAATCGAGATTCAAAGCTAGAAATTAGTTGCCTAGCCACTTTTTCTAATACATTCTGGAAATTACATATTATACAAATTTGCTGAATTTCAAAAATGAGAGAGATCAGAAATAATTATATTCACTGTACACTGTCGAAGTACAAACCATATACATGCTAACAGTTTTGTAGGTTTTTTATATGATACCCGTGCGGCGCCCGCATTACGTGACTTAAATAGTGACATTATATCGATTATTTTTATACCATTACGTAGGTTGTTCCCCATATTTCTCCGGATAATCGAAACCACATGTATTGAAAAAAATCTTCTTTATTGTAAATGTTTTGGTCGCAACGGTGACCTTCGTCAGTATAATGACTTTGCCAATATATTTTATTTATCTATTTTCCAGGTGACACTTCGTTTCGGTATTTATTTCCACCCAGAATTGTTGTCGTAACACTCGTGTTTTTTATTGATCTGAAACACGAGAAATAGTACATCAACATTTAAAGGGAATCATTATCGACATGAAAACCACAGGATAAGTTTCAGATGTTACATTATGTAGGGTTTTCTTATAAAATATCACCTTTGAAACTAGCAGACATTTACTTTATGACCACTTGTAGTAGACGCGAAATGAACTAGTGATACACTAGCGCCTACCTAATGTATAAGTTGACACTTTACTGATTTTTGGACTACACAGTTGAGCATGTCCGTAAACATTGAAGGTCACGACTCGCACTATGATCAACAAATTATCGCGAACTTTTAGTGAAGCCAAAATTACATTCTAATAAAATCTGAATCAAAATTTGTTTTTAGTTCTCCCCAAAATTAATCCGCGCACCAAGTCAAAACGCCTAGGCATTTCCTCTTCAACTAATGCACTTCTGTTTTTCTTTGCTCTTCTCGTTTTCTTCCTCTTTTTCCTTGACATTCACCAGGTACATGCTTACTCAGTCTTGTACTGTCGAGATTGTGAGGATGTACTCACAAGAAAAGTTTGAGTGTAAAAGTATTTTAAAAATAGCTTTGGAATGAACGCGAAACGCTCTCGTTCTCCATGTCCCCACTACAGGAGTAAATATCACGTGGCCTCACAACTCTGACGAACTTATTTAGGGGTGTGTGTGTGTGTGTGCGTGTGGGTGTGTGTGCGTGTATGCGTGTGTGGGTGCGTGTGTGCGTGTATGCGTGTGAGGGTGCGTGTGTGTGTGCGTGTGTGTGTGCGTGTGCGTACGCGTGCGTGCGTGGGTGTGGGTGTGTGTGTGTGTGCGTGTGTGTGTGTGTGTGTGTGAGTGTGTGTGTGTATGTATGTGTGTGTGCGTGTGAGTGTGTAGGTGTGTGTGTGTGTGTGTGGCACCAAATAACTCTTAAAAAAAATGCTCATTTTACAAAAAACTAAGTAAATATTATACAAGATACGAAGCTCAAATTAACAAATAAACAAGCACGATAGAACAAAGGTTAGGTTTCTCATTTGACAGGAGCGTGAAGGCTAAATGCGTTTTTTTATTGATCACCTTTCAATGGAACCGGTTGCTGACGTCATCACATCAGCTGTCAACCATAAGTTCACATCCAGAATCAAATCCAAGCGAATAACCAAAATTTCTGTGTTATGTGCCGCGGTTATACTATGGTTCAAGATGACAGACGGGTTGATGACGTCAGTTACACGAATCGCTTGAACGCGTTTTTTTAACCGCAGTTTTGTTGCAAGTTGTTTATTTAGTAAAAGCGCGTATATAATCTCTGATTATTTTTATTATCACTTAATAATAGGTGCTTTTTCGTCTACAACTGTGTATGGAAAGTTTAAATAAGAAACCTTTCATAATATTCATGGGAGAAATGTTTTTTTTTCAGAATATATTTTTTAATGATGGAACCATGGCTTTGTAGCTATGATAAGTTTCAATTCTCTAAAGTTTTCCGCATGTCAAAGAAAACATTTATTGATTCAGCAGACATGATGAAAAAGCGATGAAAAAAGATATTAGCAAAACCGTATACATTTGGACATCATTTAGTGAGTTTATATGGCCATATTTTAATATTCTTGTGGTATATGGCTACATAGGATACTTTGTTAAGCATAGGAACTACATTTAAAGTGTCCCCAACAACAGTAATGAGTATAACTAATAAGGTGCTCCACTTTATGGTAAAACTGAAGTCAGCCTGTATCAAGTTTCCTAAAATGAAGCTGAAGTACAATAACAATATCCAATACCCGGCAAAATTCTAACTTGTCACATTTCAAATAATAACCAGAAATATAAAACTACTCCTGAGTTGGGTAAATACTACAATTTTGCGGTGATAACTATGACATATAACAGCTGATTCATGACGTCACGGATCTTATCACCAAACTGATAACCACACTCGCTTGAACGGATCGGTAAATACCAACCCTAAATGGTAAATACCATTTTCATTTGGTTATCCGCTTGAATTTGATTCAGGAATCAACCGGTGAATTAAAAAATACACCTTATTCATCGTCCCCGGTAAATTCTCTTTGTTGTTTTATTTACCTGCGACTTCTGGTTTCTCTGAATTTCTGCTAGAGATAAATCAAATTCAAGCGGATAACCAAATGGAAATGGTATTTACCATTTTGGGTTGGTATTTACCAATCCGTTCAAGCGAGTGTAGTTATCAGTTTGGTTATAAGATCCGTGACGTCACGAATCAGCTGTTATATGTCATAGTTATCACCGCAAAATTGTGGTATTTACCCAACTCAAGAGTAGTTTTATATTTCTGGTTATTATTTGAAATGTGACAAGTTAGAATTTTTCCGGGTATTGGATATTGTTATTGTACTTCAGCTTCATTTTTGAGAAAAATGATACAGGCTGACTTCAGTTTTACCATAAAGTGGAGCACCTTGTTAGTTATACTCATTACGGTTGTTGGGGACACTTTAAATCTAGTTCCTATCCTTAACAAAGTATCCTGTGTAGCCATATACAACAAGAATATTAAAATATGGCCATATAAACTCACTAGATGATATCCACCTGTATACGGTTTTTCTAATTTCTTTTTCATCATTTCTGCTGAATCAATAAATGTTTTCTTTGACATGCGGAAATTTTTAGAGAATTGAAAGTTATCATAGCTACAAAGCCATGGTTCCATCATTAAAAAAAAATCTGTAAAAAATATTTCTCCCATGAATATTATGAAAGGTTTCTTATTTAAACTTTCCATATACAGTTCTAGACGAAAAAGCACCGATTATTAAGTGATAATAAAAATAATCAGAGATTATATACGCGCTTTTCTAAAATAAACAACTTGCAACAAAACCGCGGTTAAAACCAACGCGTTCAAGCGATTCGTGTAACTGACGTCATCAACCCGTGTGTCATCTTGAACCATCTTATAACCGCGGCACATAACACAGAAATTTTGGTTATTCGCTTGGATTTGATTATAGTTTCTTTGCGGTTTCTGTTCCGTGAACGTTATCTGATTTTTATTACGGTTTCATTTTTGACAGATGTTTGAAAAACAAAAATAAAATTAATTGCTTATTCCAAAAAATAAGTTAAGAATGTTCGTATAACCAAAAAAAGATACACAAAGATACACTCCCTTCTACATCTCCACGTGAAGATGACAGGATGTCTTCAGGAGATTCTATTGAGGCTCGACAAAATAACGAATTTGAAGCTTTACAAGTACGTTAGCATAAAAAACTAGAGAACTTTAAATTAAAAATGTACACCATTTTCAGAAACAACAATTTGTTGTAACAAAACATGTCTTTTGTTTTAGGCCATTTATGGTTTTGATCTTAAAGATCTACGCAAAAAGGCAGCATGGAACAAATGGACGCCTATGAATCTATCTCTATCATTAAAACCACAACAGGGAAGTGTTGGCACACACGAAATATATGCAACAATTGACCTACATATTGTTTGTGATGCATGTTATCCAGAAAAGTATGCCAATAACATAATTATTTTATTTTTATAACAATCGATTATGTATTCTGAATTTTGAGTTTCTAGAAAATTTTTCTTTAATACATTGTAGTTGTCCAAGAATTTATCTGGAAAACAGCAAAGGTTTGTCACAGACAACTGTTGCTGAGTTACAAGTCTTATTGGAGCAAAAGTCAAAAGAACTTGAAGGTGAAGAGATGATTTTTCAACTTGCACAATGTGTAGAAGAGTTTCTTCATACCCACAATAAGCCTACATCTAAAAGCTTCTATGATGAAATGCTTAAGAGGCAGAAAGAAAAAGAAGAAAGGGATTTGCAAGCTAGGCAGATTGAGCAAGACTTGAAGGTATGTTTATTAATTCTACGGAATAAGAATATTTATTTATCTATACACTACTCAAACAGCAATAGCCATCTACAGAGTAGGACACAGTCCAGACTAAAAAAAAGATAATTATATCATAATACAAGCAAGGGTCGGTAGTATAAACACAAAGATGCTATTTACAAATATCATAGTGCAGATAAAAAAGCAAGAAACAGACAAAATCTCACAGATTATATCCCAATTGTTCTGCAATATCATTAGCCCTACCACAAGGGTAAGATAGTGGAGAAAACTTCAAGATGTTTATTCTAGGGGAGGCAAATAAAAAAAATGCCTAGGATTTAAATGTGGAATAAGAAAATTTATTCAATATATTGCAGCAATTGACACTATTGTGCAATATCATGCACAAAATTAATGGAGCACTTATCACCCCTTTCCCTGAGACTTTCTAGATCAAAGCTTCTTCTAAATCTTTCTGAGGGTAGCCAATTGGTGGGTAACTGCGATTTTTCTTGAACTGTAGCTACTTCAGTTGTTACCTGATATTTTTCAAGTCTTTCTATCCAAAATTTATAGCAAGGCTGCCAAACAGTTGATGCATGTTCAAGCTTTGAATCAACAAGTGAGCAAACAAAAGTTTAATTGTATTGTCTTGTAACTCACAACCACAGCATATAATAAAGCCCAAGCAATCAGTAATTGTCTCCATATGACCATTGAAGTAAGACTTACTATTGAAAAAGTCAGCTTAATCCTTTAGTTTGACTAAGCGATTGAGAGGTGCTTCACCAATATTATAACCAAATATAATTACTTGGGTTTTGTTGGTTTATACTTCACAGCATTTAAAGGCAAGCTATTATTGAAAAGTCAGCTTAATCCTTTGGTTTGACTAAGCGATTGAGAGGTGCTTCACCAATATTATAACCAAATATAATTACTTGAGTTTTGTTGGTATACACTTCACAACATTTAAAGGCAAGCTATTTTTGCAACACCAGCTGTCGAGCATGTTGATGTTATGTTGTAACTTATCTACAACCATCCAGGAACCGAATCGGAAAAAGAAGCTTGTGTCTGTCAGCATATAGGAGAAACTGTACATCTAATTAAATGTCTGTATCATTTATAAACATTATAAAAAATAATGGCCTCAGGACAGACCCTTGAGGGCACAAGTCATAATTGTATAGATCTGAAGCTATTGTTCATTACATATATGACTATCTCAGATAGATAGGATTTTATAAGTGGGAGGAAATGACCAGTCACACCAAGGTTAGCTGATTTGTCAAAATCAAAGGCTTTCGAGAACTCAGTATAAACGATTACAATTTGAACATGAGAGTTTATACTTTCAGATATACATATACTGTGCAGTGCAGAATAAGTTTGTAATTGTTGATCTCTTTTTTATGAAACCATGCTGTAAAGTATCATGCACATGCCAATAAGCTGCATCATAAATAAGAAACTCAAACACTTTTTCAATATTGCACATGTTTCCTTTATTCCTAAAAACTTGACAGACCCTTGAGACTTTCCACGATGATGGTTAGATACCATTATTTAGCGATAGGTTATATAACATTGTTAGAGGCTTTGCAAACACAGAAGCAGGAACTGCATCTGGACCGGAAGTTAATTTAGGTTTTAGTCCTCTTAAGGCATGTCCAATTGTTTGGGTAGAGTCAGAATTACCACTTGAACTGTTTATGAAAGATTCATGAAAATAGTCAACAAAGCTATTCAAAATGTTGTGAGGGTCACTTATAACCAAACCATTATATTTATCCAAACCACTATATATCTTATTTTTGGGTATGGGTCTTTTTTAATCTTTAGTCTCAAAGCTTCATAATCTTGCAAGACCTCTTCATCAGGATTTCGTCTTAGCCTAAATAATAGTCTCTCTTTAGCTCTGGTATCATTTATAATACTTACAGTAAACCAACGAGAAAATCGCCTATGACATTTAGTGGTAGAGTAATTGGGGCACAGCATGAGTTAATGACATTTAATGTATCATAAAATTGCTTACAAGCTTCTGCCACATCATTTATGCTATCAAGAAAGCCCCAGTTAGTGCGGAACAGTTGAACATACAAAAAAAGAAATATTGACTTTTCTAAAATTTAAAGAATTAGACGTAATTCTATCAACTTTTCTTGCTGATCTGCGAAGTAATTCATTAATAGAGACAATAAGATAATAATTTATTGAGCAGTTATAACTATAATATATTTCTCAATTCATCTACATACTTGCATACTTTTAGATTAAACTCGTTATTCTTCTACTGCTATTCCATATTATAATGGAATATTTGCGTTTAGTTCACATTACTGAAGCTATGCATTGTAAATGCAAAAATGTAGGGACTGTAGAGATTAGGAATCCACCGAGTACTTGGTTTGTAGTTGGTGAATGAATGAATCTTGAACCTCTACAATCCTTAGATCACAAGCCTCGCCCTTTTAGCGAAGTTGAGAATCGCCTTGAGTCCAAGTTCCTTGACGTCCTGAGGGTCCAAAGTAATGGACCCCAGTATAGTCTGAATATAGTAGCTCAGAGCTTCTCAGCAACAAAAAACGTGCGCCGAGGTGACGCCTTAACGTGTTATGGCCAGACAACAGTCCCACCAGCAACCTTAGGTTGGCTCTATCCAGAGATGGCAGAAGCATCCATCCTTAGCACTGGGCCCTTCAATGAGTTCCCGTGCCTGGCGGAGATGTCTGGAGATACTTCTCCATTTCTGAGACTGTTGTCTTGCAATCCACGTCTCCATTTTCCTCCTAGCTTTATGCGCGGTCACTCCTAGAGCTGGCTCAGGACCAACGAGCTTGCTGGCTGATCCTGTCTTCGCCAGAGTGTCCGCCGTCTCATTGCCCCTTATCCCAGCGTGCCCCGGTACCCATATTAACGATACCGGATGCCTCGCTGTGAGGCAGTCCAGAGCCTCTCTGCATTGCAATACAAGACTCGAAGTAATCTTACAGACACTTAGTGCTTTCATTGCAGCCTGGCTGTCGGATAAGATTGTTATTCTTCTCCTAGGCCCACCCTCCTCCAGAATGTGAGATACACAAGCCAGAATCGCAAAGATTTCCGCCTGGAAAATAGTGGTGTATCCACCGAGAGGCAGAGATAGAGATAGTTCTAGGTAGTTGGTACTCGGCTTATTTTACATAGAAACCTGCTTTTGCCAAATATCAAATAATTCAACCAGGTACTATTTGGACACTAGGCAAGAAGTACTGCTTGTGTGAATAGAAGAACTGGGATGCGATCTGCAGTCTGCGCTCATATGTCTCCAGTAAATGAATGCCCCTTCTCCCTGAGAATTTGATTTGCATGATTTTGTGTATAATCTTGGCCATTCAAAAGTTTTTGGGGCAGGTACACTTTCACAAAAATGTGTCTCTGGTCAGTGATCTGGCCTTCCCAAGAAAAATTCCTGGGGGCGTCCATGGTAATCAGGACCCAGCTACTTCTCATTTTGAATATTATAATCCTCAAAATCCTACTATTTATCTGCTTTTATTTTATTTATAAAGTTTATGAAATCAAAGATTATATAGATTGGAAAGACCAATGAGTTATGTCACTAACACTAACTAGGTAATAATCATCTATATTTTTTGTATAGATATAGTACTATTAATTCAGAACAGTTTTCTGAAATTAGGGAAAACTCCCATGCACAGAAAATAAACAATAATTAGGAACGAAAAAATAATGAATACGGTTTATCCGACGCTGCGCGACTGCTTAAAGGTTAAATAACACCAAATATGTACCTTTTAGTCAGAGCCAAGATGCATTTTTAAGTGAAATGTATCTATCTTATTTTTTGTGACATATTTGGATAAAATATAATGTGAATTGAACTGAAGAAAATGTGCCATGGAGTGCCCTTTTAAGCTCCAGTAGAACGTTTGTTTGTTTGTTTAAGATTTGTTTAGCATGATTGCTACAATTACATTCTTTTAAAAAACTAAACAATTACATAACATACAGATATTTAGAAAAAAACAAAATTTGCATCTCTAAGAATTTTCACTGTCCATGATAATCTTCTTTTAAACATCAAATTACAAGTAGACTTTATATCATTATTCAGTTTATTAAATTCAAGTAATCCTTTCTGAAATATGCTTTTGCTAGTTATATTACTATTGCAGTTTTGTAAATGAAAATCTATATTTCCTCTTGTATAATAATTGTGGTAATGATTATTCAATTCTATGTAGTGTTCTAAATGTTGTGGCAAAAGATGATTTTATTATTTTCAATATAAAAATAAGAACGAAACCACTGCAATTCAGGTAACAGATTTTATTTTGGTGTGCTTATTTTTATTCAATATTATTCTCATAGCTTTATTTTGTAGGACTTGTAATTTTGAGAATATGCTTCATTGGCAGTGAATAAGATAGTTGAACAATATAGTAAATGTGGTAGAATAATTGTATTATAAACTATATATTTTTGGAATATGTACTAGACTATGAGAAGTCCTATAAAAGTAATTTGATTTTTTGGCAATTTTTGAAATAATGTATTCATGGTGATCCTCAAACTTTAGTTTACTATCAATATATATATATATATATATATAAATTCGAGGTCGTATAGCCATTTTATACTACAATGTGTAGGTTGGCTCTTGTTGTGGACTTCGTGTGTCGTTTTTTTCCCCTTCAACTTCGTTTCCTCAGGTTACACCCGTATCCGGATGTGTGGGCATGTGTATCTACTTTTGTAGTTTCATATGTGCATTCATTTCGGGCCTGATGAAGCCAACCAGCAGAAATACGTATCGCTCGGGTTACCTATCTCTATTTTCTGCTCGAATCCACTTTCCTCCTTTTTGCGGATTTTGCCCATTATTTTCCTACTTGTTGTTATATATATATATATATATATACACCTTTCCGTGCCTACCACCTTCTCCACGTGTGGCGGAAGTAGGAGGTTAGAAACTGCATTCCGATTGTAATTGTCCCCAAAAT